ACTTAGCATGCTCGACTAAATGCAAGAGCCTAATAAAGCAAATTAACACGTAGTAACAAAAGCAAGCAATCAAGCTCGGATTCACAAACTTGGTCCACATAATCGGTGAACCGGATTCACAAACTTGGTGACCTCAAACCAGGTTGGACTGACTTCGACCAAGCCCTAACCGGCTCGAATAGTCCATCTAGGTCATGAGATCGGGCCCCAAACTCACAAACTTCACAAAATTTATTCAAAAGTCACCCCGAGCCACAAGCTCAAGGGGTTTAGTTCCAAAATGATTCATATACATATGTCATGTACAAATATGTGCGCAAACTAGGGTTTAGGTCGAGTGCGATAAAGTACACCCTCGCCTAGGTACCCTTTTCATACATATCGAAACACATAAGCAACTAACACGTAAGAGCGGCCTGAATACTTACTCAAAATACAAAAGTAGTACAAAAGCGGAAATCACTTCGTGTGTTGGCTAGTAGTGGGCCCCACCGGCTCCACCTAGCTCACCACTGTCTGAAATAGAAGATTTTATCACATAATATCACAAACGGCTACTAACAGACCCAAAACAAGCAAAACGGCAAAAGCCGACACACGCAAGTACGGAAATGGCAAAATTGGCACATGCAAGTGCGCGGAACGGCAAAAGGAAACGGCCAAATCTGCTATCTCAAACCGTTTTGATCAAAGATTAGGCTAGGAAAGTCGGATGAAAGTGAGCGAGATACTGTTTTCAAGCTATAGGAAGCCTACAATTCCATGAAGACACCTAAAACTAGATTCAAATCACACAATCGAATATCCATGGAAAACGTACCAAGAAGTTTGCATGTGAATGACAGACAGGGCCCACCTGACGCAATAACTTCTAAGCATCACAAGTCCAAATCAGGAAATTCCAAGCATTAGAAAGCTGAGACATAAGCTAAAAATTGATGTTTTGGCCAAGACCTAATCTACTCAGAACAGAAAGAAAATTGATGCGCCCAAAGTAACCCCCGTCGAACTGTCCAGATTACAAGGCAGTTCTGACGATCAATTTAATTTTGATCCATAACGAAGCTACGGAACTCGGATTTTGGCATTTATACCGTTTCGAAGCTCAGCCAGATCTACATTTCTTATGAGGAGTTGACACCACAGATCATACGGATCAAAAACGGAAAACCACATCAGAAGCTGGAAATTCAAAAACGGTACACAACTAAATGTCTAAAAACCTGAGTGTCTGTCTATAACTCAGAGTACACTACTCCGTTCTATCTGAAATTTTACAGGCAATATTTAGAACTAAGGGCTACATTTCATCAGAAAACTCAACATTCCAATTCCAAAGAAATTCAACCAAAAACAACCAATTTCAAACGCAGTTTCTTACATTCAGATGATTCCAGAACGCATAGTAAATTTCGACTTTTCTCATTCTACACTACTCCGATTGACCTAAATTTACAGACACCTCTAACACCATCAAGTATCTACAATTTCATGTTGAAAACGCAGGCCAATTCGCCTAACCATGAGATAGCAAAACCGACAGAAATGAGGGATATGAAACCCTAGTCTTCCAAATTTTCTTCCAAACCAAGAATTGCTTGCAATTATCAATCATTTACACCTACTAGAGTTATTAAACATCATTTCCAATCAGCATAGATAGCCACACCATCATGATCATAATAAACCAGAAAAATCACCAGTAAATTGAAAACTTCATCAATTCATCCAAAAGCAAGGGCAAGAAATAACCACAAAATTCATCACTTTAACTATCACTAGGCATCAATTAAGCTTCATTAGATGAAGGAGAAGGTTCATTCACTACTCACCTAGTAAAACAAGAGAGAGAGAGTTGCTTGACACCTTAGCTTCTCCAAACACTTCACCAAACTACTAACTAACACCAAATGAAGAGATTTTATGGAGTAGAAACAAGTTTATGTGATTGTTTTGGAAGATTTGAGCTAGATGGAAGCTAGAAATTGGAAGAGTTTTCTTTCTTCTTTGCTCAAGATGGCCGACCAAGAGGGAGGAGGAAAGAGTGAATTTTTGGTAAGTTTTTGAGATATTTTAACTAAATGGTAAAAAGTCAAAAAGGTGAATAGTTGTCCAACAAGTCCAACCAATGAGATAGTGACACTTGTCACTCCATTTAAAGCATCTCTATCCTTTTCTCTCTCACATCAATCACATCACAACCTCTACTTATCTCTCAACACTCGATAAATTTCACCCAGTGTCCGGAACTTAACCTAATTGGCTGAATTTTTCCGAACTTTTCGCACTAGCGGGTCCCACGTCCGTTATATATCCTTAATTTCTCAAAAACTAACCGATACTAGAAAAATCATCTAAAACCCATATTTACTCATAAAAATTATCCTGGGAATTTTTCTAGTAAAGAAAATGTGGAAAAAGGCGGGCGATAAATAAAACTCCACTTAAGTTTTCTAATATTGTAACACTAGAGGTTTGCTAATCCAGAGTTTGCCATCCATTTTCAAACTTGTTAAACCTCTGTAAACTATAACAAATTCTATTTTTACTTGTGCCAAAACACACACTAGAATACCGCATAAACTAGGGTTTTATCATAAGCAAGTTAGGGTTTTCAATCTTAGCCGAGTTTAGGGTTTCTCCTTAACCCTAAAACCTTAATTTAACCGTACAAAATAATGAATAACCCTAATATCAACTTACGAACGGGTTGGGGCCTCACAATGTTAACTACTTTTTTTCATTATTATTATTTGTTGGTTTTATCTTATCATTGTATTTTCTCCTAGTTTGTTAACTGGCTCATTTTTTAGCATTATCAATTGATGATAAGTTTTAACCTCTTTTTCTATCTTTCCAAAATGAAATTTTAAATTTATACATGAAAAAATATTAGGGATTCAAAATTTTTGGATTAAGTTTTCATGTTAATTTTTATAGTACTTAGTTCAAATATTTATATTCTGTTATTCAATTATTAAATAGCCATTATTTTGTGACATAAGTAACGATGGGAAAAATAGTAATAGGTTTATTAAACATTATAAGTAAATATTCAAAACTAATGTTGGGTGCAAAGGACGGTATAAATTGATAACTTAATTTGCAAAAATGAATTTAAATGAGTTTACAAAATATTAAAATAAAAAGGTTATAAATGAATAATTGGGTTATCCAATTCATTTTTTGACTTACCCATTTATACCCATCTAATTAAATGGGTATAAATAAATTGACTTACTTATATCCATTATCCATTTTATTCAATCCAAACCCGTCTAAGTTAATCATTTTGAAACCTCTACTCCTACCCTATAACAATAAAATTTGGAGAATTGTGTAAAGTTATATCTTCAAACTGGGTGTTGAGGATAATTGCTCCCTTGACAAAACTTTGGAAATTATGGGTTTGTTTGGATTGAGCATTATTTCTTCAATTTTATTTGTTTATATCATCATTACAATTTCTAATATATCTTTTTATTTTCTCAATTACCTTTTTATTTCATATACCTCACATCACAAAATGTGCTACAGTAAAAATATCCCAAATAACTTACAATCCAAACAATCCCAAATATCCCAATACTCTCTTGAACTGGCAAGGTGAGGCAAATGACAAGTACCTGACAATGGTAAAACCAGTTAATCAGTGGCCCTCCACCTGTCATTATTGATGCCACGACTAGCCAATGAAAGTGCCAGGACGACAATATAATATATTTGTAGTTTTTAACTATTTTCTGTCACCATTTGAACAACCAACGAAAAGAGGACAAAATATGTTTACCAACGCTAATTGAAATCCAAATGTACGTTTCTTACATAATCAAATAAACTATTCCTAAACTGATTGCCAACAAACCAATCAAATTGATAGACAGATACCCTTTCATTAGTTCGGCAGCCTAATGTACCGACCCTGCCGGATGAATCTCTTCATTTCCGGTGAAACGTCAGAAGGCATGTAGGCCCATTGAGCAAATCAGACAAATTAATAGTTCTGTTTGTACTAGTAATATTTTTACGCCCTTAGGTCATCCTTCAGCAAAACTTAAGGTTTCATTTAAGGCACTTAAGGCTCTGATTTCAGTGTTTACAGATTCAGAGTTTAAATCTCCCTTCTCGATCTTTACTTCTTAAATTTCGCCATCTCTACTTCTTAAATTTCACCATTTTTGTTATTAGAAAAAAAAACTACATAATTCAGCTCATGAGAGTGAGTATTCATAATTGTCATATTAGCATGTACAAAATTCATATGTTAGACAGTCCAAATTCAAAATGAATATTAATATGAGTAATACAAGTACATATTCTATATGACGACTTCAGCATTTAAAATTCACAATATACCAAAGTTACAAGTGTTATTATTTTGAGAATTTTAAATACTTCTTAACCAATTAGTTATTTTGATTTAGTATGAGTTCAAAGTTAACCTCACAAATGGAACGTTATTCACTTTCATTTATTCCTGAATTTTAAACATATCCATACCCAAATTTACCTATATCATGATATTCGAACGTTAACTTTACATTTGATTAAAGTTAGCCAATGATAAGCAGATATGGTGCTTCCAACAGACATAGAAGAGACTGTCAATACAAAATTTTTATCTATCTTATTGGAAGATTTTGAAATTTTTTGTATTTTTTCAATCTATTTATAGTTTTTCAGATTTATTATATTTGGTAAATTACAAAAATGTGATTTGTAATGCATGTGTAACCTGTCATTAGGACAGTGATGCAAATCAAATCAGATGATCTCTATCAATCCTTTAATGAACTTTAATGAATTTTGCTTTTTTATCAAACAAAAAAAAGTCATTTACACCAAAATTATCCAGGATTCCCATTTTCAGTTGATGAGTATGACCTACCAACCAAATGGGGCAATCATAACATGCAAAGAATCTAAAGAAGCAAGCAAACTAAGCCTTTTGTTTAAATTGCAGCCTTTGCATACCTGTCACAAAGAACTTTTTTGGGTTTTCCCTTCTTTCACTAGTACTTTGCTTTTGCCTCAAATCTTCCCTCCTTTTTCAATCAAAATTCATAGAGGTGTAATCCTTGCCTTCAAATCATGGGTTTGAATCGAAATTCATCATCACACTTTTCTTGATTATCTTTAAAATACTTCACATTTATAATTATAGTGTTGTGCCTACATGTTTGTTTTCCATTAAATGCACTAGTGTTTGTTCTTCATGGTGCTTTTATGATTCACACTGATATAACAGAATCCGGCTCCACCAGATTTTTACTGTGATTTCATTTCCTTCTGTTTCTGAGTGCTGAAACCTGCCTTGAATTCCATTGATGCTCAGGTGGTGCCATAGCAAATACGTATTTCTATAAAAAAGGGAAGTTCAGTAGCCATCCCACTCAAGTATAGCTCAAGTCCTTCAGCATATTTCTTGTTGCCTTTTCTGAGCTTTGCCTTGAGAGGGATTTCATGGAAAGTGTCAACAGGGAAGCTAAATCAAAGATGGAAGATTACGAAGTAATAGAGCAGATTGGGAGAGGTGCTTTTGGAGCAGCGTTACTTGTTCATCACAAGATAGAGAAAAAGAAGTACAAAACTTAATAAGCTTCTCTCTTTTTGCATTGTTTGCTATGTAAATTGCTGTCCCCTAGAACTAATAATGCTTTGTCTATTCATCTTTATTATTTGTCTGTGTATTCCCTTTCAGGTAAATTCTTCAGTTGTTGATGTCCAATCAATAGTTCTTAACCATAATACTGAAACGGCTTAGTATGTTATTACAACATGTTTCTTTTTAAATTGCAGCTCATTTTTATTTTTTGGGGTGGGTAAGGAATCAGCATAATTATATTTCTTGTGCATGCAGAACCTTCCCTATTTCTATTTTAGGGTCTTAGAGATGAACCTCCTTTTTTTTTTAGGGTGAGTAGGGGATGGGTGGTTTGGGGGGGGGGAGCGGTTGTAAGTTGGGGACTATTCAATTAGTTAATTGAGAGGATGACGAATAGGAACTACTATGCAGATATTGAAAAATTGACTATCTTGCTTTCTATCTTCTCCAACGAAATCTATGGGAGTTCTGTTCATTTTTGGGGTTTTTTTTATTCTTAGGTATGTGCTGAAGAAAATTCGTCTAGCTAAAGAAACGGTGAAATTTCAGCGAACTGCACATCAAGAGGTTATACTAAACACTTCCAGCATTCATTTATTAATGTACTAAATAACTTGTAGTGACTGAGATTCTTATCCGCTTCAAGTTTTTATTAGTGAAGAAGAAATCATTACCAGCTAGATGACTATAATTAATCATTGGGACCACTGTGTTTTCTTTCTTTCTTTTTTTCCTTTTTACATAATTTTGGATGATTTCGGCTAATGTTAACTACTTCTTAACCGAATAGTAAACTTCCCTTTTTTTTGGGTCGTTCTTATGCTTCTTTAGGCCAATTATTGCAGATGAATTTGATGGCAAAGCTGAATAATCCCCATATTGTACAATACAAAGATGCATGGGTGGAAAAGGTAAGTTGAAATACCTTCTTAAAAGATGTCTTGATTTTCAATTAGCCAATAATTCCCTCCCAGGTCCATAAAAATTTCATGCAGGTCACTTGACAGATTAGCTCAATTTCTTTTAAAACTAAACGAATTCTGAATTGAACCAGGATTCCTCTGTATGTATCGTCACAAGTTATTGTGAAGGTGGAGACATGTAAGTTGCAGTTACATCGAATAAAGCCTTTAGCAGTTGAATGCACAAGGATTTATATCAGTGATTTTTTTTAGCCATTAACATATGAAGAAACTGCAAACTCGATATAATTGATTTTATACTGCTTGAGAGAGCAGTTTATGACCATTTCTTGCACTTCCAAATCAATTTACTGCTCCTACAAGGCCATAATGTCATTACTACAATGATTCTTCTCTTATTCAGAGCACTAGTATTAGATGGTGCTTTCAAATTTTGCTGACACAACTATTTTGTTGATTTTGCAGGACTAAGATGGTCAAGAAAGCTAGGGGGACCTTCTTTCCTGAAGAGGTACGAAGTGTTAAACATCATCTAGCTAGAAACTTTAAGACCTTAAAATTAGTGCATGCCTGATGCTTGTTCCCCTTGTAGAAGCTCTGTAAGTGGATGACTCAGCTCTTGATAGCTCTGGACTATCTTCACTCAAATCGCATACTTCACAGGGATATCAAGGTATGCTGTGTTCTGATTATCCTGAAAAACATAAGGCTGCATCTTTAAGTTCTCATTTGTTTGTCAAATTAAACATGAAAAGCGTACTGTTAAATGCTGAATAGAGTGCAATGTTCTTCATGAAATATGTGCTGTTAAATGCTGAATCGAGTGTATTGTTCTTCACTGCAGTGCTCAAATATTTTCCTCACACGAGGCCATGATATCAGGCTGGGTAATGAAGCAAAAAAAAATTTGAAAATTCTGGAACATGCCAGCCATCATGTTGCATTTCACACATCTTTCAACCTGTATGCAGGTGACTTTGGACTTGCAAAACTTCTAACCAAAGATGGTCTTACTTCTTCAGTAAGGACTTGTTTCTTTCCCTTTCTAGTAGGCCTTGCTCTAATATGTCAGATGAATGTCTGCAAGAATTAAGTGCAAGAATTAGAGTAGTAAAGGTTGTTAAGGTAGAACCCTCATAACTCGAAGAAAATGAGTGGAAAGATGAATGTGCTATTTGACATGCTATCATCTGACAAGCAAAGTATGTACATTAGATTGCCAAGAGGGGGAGAAATTGATGCTTCTGTCAGATAATTGCACAGGTTAAAATTACAAATGCACCTGAAAGAGGACTTGGATTTTATCATCTATCAGAAATGTTCTCATAGATATGCTTATTATGGGCATAAAAGTACAACACAGTAAAAAAATGATCTACTTTGTCCCATATAACCATGAACGAAAGTATCAATTAGAAAAATTGGTTCACTAGTATGCCGGCACAATCTTTCTTCTGTGCTCAGTGTATAACGGGATGATGAAAACTATCATGGAGATCAGCCGTGAAATATGAAATGCAGATATGGTTCCTGGCTAGTTAATAATTCTTGTTATAACCTTCTCCATTGATCCAGAAAGATTACAATGAAATCCTTTATTCCCTTCATGCCCTTCCTACTTCAAACAGAAGGCACCAAGAAAGAGGAAAAATGTGCTACTTGTTTGCTATTACGAGGGACTATATACCCGCTCATATTTTCTGCAACATATCATACCAGTCTGTATTTTCGTATCTGTTCATGTAAAGCAGAACTCAAGGTAATGATTAATTCACAAATGACGAAAAGTGTACTGTTCTAATTTTGCAGTATCTGAGAGATGGAAACAGCATAATATGGTTGACAGAATAATTAGATCAGCTGTATTTGATAAATTCATACACAATCAGCACTATTCTGCAGGTTCAAGGCTAAAATGATAAACATATAAATCCCCTTACAGATCAAATAATCAATTAATTAGTAAACAAATATTCAAAGGGAAGAAAAGCTAAAAAAGAATCAAAGGGAAGAACAAAGAGGTTTCAGAATAGGCAGCGTTTACTACAAATATGTACTTGGAAGGTAGAGCTTGTAGTAAAGGAATAGATCTCCTGGACCTTCTTTTTTTGTTTCTTTGGTGTTTTTCATATTCCATCAATTCCTAGGGCCAACACTTCCTTATAATTGATCTTCTTAGTTGACTAAGCAAGCACCGTACCATAATGCACATTGAATCAAGAAGTTCTAGCCAACCACGATGTTAATCAACCAAACTGAAGAACCACAGAGGTATTGGAGGAACTTAACCTGAAATCTTAATTATCCAATGATCTAAACAATGCATTTGCATCTGTAACTTAGTTTCTGTTTTTTTTTTCCCTTCTTTCTTTTAATCTGATGTGACTTCCTTAATATAGTATTTAGACTACAAAAATTTTGGTCAACTAGCAGCTTGCATGGATCTAAATGGTTTTGCTTGTGTGTACCATCTAGGTGGTTGGCACTCCAAACTACATGTGCCCAGAGCTCCTTGCAGATTTACCTTATGGCTACAAATCTGATATCTGGTCCCTAGGTAACTACACTAGTTCTTTGCTCTATTAAACTTGTTCTTCAATTTTGGGAACTTGGTAGCTTGGTGCCCTAAGTTTCACCACAAATGAGTTTTCCAACTTCTCAGGCTGCTGTATGTTTGAGATTGCTGCTCACCAACCACCATTTAGAGCTTCTGTAAGTTTCAGCATGATCTACCTCTGTCAGTTTTCTTTAATTACCCGCCACTTTCTTAGTCAAATTCATAGAGAATGACCCTTTAGAACATTACTGAAACAGGATATGGCTGGACTTGTAAACAGAATAACTAAGTCGACAGTCTCTCCAATCCCAACAGTGTATTCCACCACATTGTAAGTGAATAACATTTTCATTATTTAATACTTCCAATGACTACCTATCAGTATTTGCAGAAGGTATTTTTGTTGTAAAATTATTAGCTTGGCTAATGGAAAAGATGAGATAATGTTCCCTTGCTCATCAGGAAGCAATTGATCAGAAGCATGCTTAGGAAAAATCCTGAACACAGACCAACGGTTAGTAGCAATACTATCAATCACCCAATATATTAAAAGCAATCACTTAATTCACTCATTTCATGCATTAGGCAGCAGAGCTCTTGAGGCATCCACATTTACAGCCATACATTGCTCAATACCACAACTTATCTCCAGTCTTCGTTCCAATAAAGTCTACAAAGAATTCAAAACACAAGGCACCGCAGGGTCAACTGTCTGGGAAGCCCAAGTTAGGAAAGGATGGAAAATCTGGAAAGGAGAATCTGGTAAAACAGATGCAAGGTGTTGAAGCAGTCAATAGAAATATCAACCTGCTTCAAGGTAATGTAGTCAGAGCTAAAATGCCTGCATCCAAGATCCCAAAAGCCAGCAGTGAAACAATGCAGTTGCAGTATGTTGGCTCTTTCAAGAAAATACCTAAAACTGATGGAAGTGATAGAGCAGGCTACAATTACATTAGAAAAACAAAAGGTTTCAATTCCAGAACCTCGTCAAGCAGCACTCTAACTGATCAGCATGAAGATACAGAACAATTAGCCCATACACCTCAAAAAATTGATGGAGAATCTGAGGCTGGAGGTTTACAGGAACTGCACAGAAGAATGGAAAAGCCACATGTGTCTCTATACATTAATTGGCTTCTTGAAGACGAAGAGCAAACATCACCAGAAGCTACAGTGGCTCTAGAACATAACCCAGGACCATCCTCGAGAAATTATAGAGAGGAATTCTCAAAATCGTACTCTATGATTTCGGTTACAGAAAACACCTCAACTGGACTTTCAAGAGATAAAGGAGGAGCTAAAGTAAATGATCAACAGTCCTCCATGAGAGCAGAAAATGTTCACAGTAGCAATCTAAGTCAGGAAGTTGGTGAAACGTCATCAATCAGCATGCAAAATTTTCTACATATCAGCAAACTCAGAATGAAATTAGATACAGCAAGCCAAGAAAGAGCAGATGCCCTGGAATCATTACTTGAACTTTGTGCAAAGCTACTTAAGCGGGAAAGGATTGAAGAACTTGCTGGGGTGTTGAAGCCATTTGGGGAAGAAGCTGTATCATCAAGAGAAACAGCAATTTGGTTGACAAAGGGACTCCTTAATATTCAAAAACAAGGGGCATGAAGCTTGGTATTTTCCTGTAAATTATCTTAGCTATCTGAAATATATCTATTACAAGAATGAGTTCTTATATGACTAACTAGGGTATGTGCCACTGAAAACGAGAAAATCACTTGACTTCATTAAGGCTAGAAAACAAAAATGAGATATACTCAGAATATGAATGGTTTTAAAATGACAAAAGGCAGAATTGGAGAAGTTCAGAAGATTATTTGGAGTAAAATTGGGCATAGTCCTGACATTGCTAAAATCTAAACCAGCTAATGATCTACTACCATAGCTAGTTCTCTTCAGCTGACTGTTTTATTGCTTTTCTTGGCTAAATCTTTGTTTACTTTGCCAGAATGATGATTCTGCTTAGTTATTTGATCATAGATAAATCTCTCTGCTTCATTTCTTCGTATTGCTGCTCGTGAAGATCATTGCAACCAGTGTCTGCGTTTTGGTGGTATACAAAGTCAACTAGGAGCAAACTGAGATGTCACTATAACTTTGATTCCTGTGTTTTATCAGCACATCTCGGGGCAGGCATTTTCTTGGTTAAACACTTCAGCCGCAAAAATTGGCATCATATAACAATTATATGAAAGGATGCCAACAAGATTTAACATAGGCACTGCTATCTGATAGAGTTTATTCTGTGGTAATGTCTTCATTAAATTTTGGTAATTTTGCAATCCTACTTTGACATTTTGGACAATTTCAATTAGTTCCCTATATTTTTGTTAATGTAAATATGTTAAGGATAACTTTTTAATACACTGTCAGTGTATAATTTTCTTTTATACTATCATGCTATATAATATGAATTCAAATTTAAAATTCAAATCATGTACATATAGCATACATCCATAATTACTAGTGTAAAAAATCACTGTGCTATCAATGCATAAAAAGTAAATCCATATATTAATATAGAAATTTAGTGTATCAATTAGTTGATTAGCATCAATTAAGAACTTTCTTTATATAAACTAGTCTAGGTTCAATGTAATAGTTGTTTAGATTCATTTTGTATAAGCCTATAAATATAGGCATAATTCTTTGTATATGAATTTTCCTACAAATATGCCTATTTGAGTTTACAATTTTGCATCGTTGTATATAGGCATAATTCTTTGTATATGATTTGGGAAAACTGTATATGAATGTTTACAATTTTCCCAAATCTCCATTTCTTTAACAGTTTTCAACATTACAATTACCTCGCCAATTTGAGTTTCACTGTAACAAAGTCAACCATTGTTTCTAAAACTCATATAAGATGCTAGCAACACAGAGGTTATCGAAACACTAAACCAAATGTTTTTTTTTTCCAAGTCTGAGCAGGAAAACACTAAAACTAAAGTAAATTAGTAGCACTTGAATTCGGTTTACAACTTTGAACATGTTTCTCTGTGTTCTACGGGAAGCATTCTAGGACTGCTAGACGTCCATTGTGGGCAGCTTTGGAGGCTCGATCAGTAGAGATAACTGGCCCCTGGATGGTGGGAGGGGGGCTTCAATGTAATAGCATCAGCTAATGAGGGAAGACGAGGGGCTCCGCCAAGGATAGGAGATATGGACGACTTTGTCATGGCTCTGACAAATGCGGGACTTTCGGAGGTGCTGTTTGATTGGTTAGAATTTATTTGGACAAATAAGTGTGTATGGCAGCGACTTGATAGAGTGGCAATGAATGCTGATTGGAATATGGATTTTAGTTTTGTGCATGGAACACATTTAGCTAGAGGAAGATCTGATCATTCCTCTTTATTGGTCAAATCTTCTAATGGCTCGCGGGTAAAGGGTCTTTCAAATTTCTTAATGGGTGGCTGAAGCACCAAGATTTCTTAAATGTCGTGCGTCAGCATTGGTCTCAGCTGGTGCAGGCTTATGGTAAGGTTGCTTTTTTGCTAAATTGATGAGGTTGCACAAAGCGTTAAAGGCATGGAACCATCATACTTTTGGCCACATTGGGCGTCAAATCTAGATAGCTGAACAAGAAATGCTTAGCGTGCAGAATCTATATGATCAACATAGAGGGCTAGAGCAAAGCTCAATCGAGTTATGTTCAACATTAGTTATGTTCTCAGTTGGGAAAGGCTAGAGCTAAGCTCACTCGCTTACAAAATGTAATGAAGTAGTACGCCTTATTTCTTGTCTTCTTTGGCTGTAAAAGAGGGCAGGTATAGGCTCCCTCCTACACTTGTTTTCTGGCTGAACAAATAAAATTTGGGACTAGCATCCCTCCCCACATACCGGTTTGCCGAAAAAAAATGAACAACTTTGACTCGCCTCCACATTCGCACTTTTAAGCTCTTCCATTGTACCATATACACTCATCAATGTGGTAAAAAGTTTGAATTTACATATTATTTTAAAAGAGGATAAGACGCATTCGGAGAGATCACTATCTTCTTCAAAACAAAAGACTGCTTGTCATATATTTTAATAAAAATAATGTCGCATGTCTATTTATTGAATTCAAACACTACAAGTTACAAGTAATCTAATAATTTTCAGCTGTAGTACAATCATTCCAAGTATAACTTACTCACATAATAATTTTTACTGTTACAAAATGAATCTAGATTATTTCAAATTATAGCTGAAAAAAAATAAGATATTTGTTCTACTTAATGTTGGGATTTGGAACTCCTATTATAAATATACGGTTCTGCAAATCTAGTCTTTCATACTTTGTATATCTCTATCTATTGTCAACTTCTCTTCCTCAAATTATTTCATTAGGCATTAGAAGGTATTATATAAAGTTTTAACTTCTCTGGATTGTGTAGACTTAGCAAAAACAACAATGAAGATTACGTTGTTGTATCTTAAAAGCAACGTGGCATCAAGCTTTGACATCGGACATAATCTCCAAAGAGATGAGATCAACCTAATTCATGTCTCAACTAACCAAAATACTTTATCTATTTTTTCCTTTAACTTTTGTTTTGTGGGTCAGTCGTACAATTGAAGTTCTCAAGGGTAAAACATTTGCTTCTTTCAAATATGAAGCAAATGTTTAACACCATTGATCAATATTGTCCCACAGTTAAATGGCCCATTGGGCCGTAAGTTTTGTTCCTGCAGGTGGGTGAAACAACAACAGATAAAGAGCGCAAATTGAATCTATTTATAGACTCGTCTCATTTGTGCATTTCATCTGCATTTGAATTTTATTTGCTTTCTTTGCAATGTGGCCGACATCTTTGAGTAAGTGGTTGATATCTTTTTCAAAAGTCATTTGGGTCTTGTCCGCATGGTCCACCAAACGGATCAAAATTGGATTCGGATGATCCTGCTGACTCTTCAATTTTGTCGGTTTCTTCATCCTTATCTTGCTTTTGTAAATAATCTAAATATTCTCTGAGCATCTCGGGATTTTGCATCATCTTTTTCATCAAAAAGTCGTTTGTAGTTGTCTCGGATGCTATACTGGTAACTTTTTCTTTATCTATTCTTTTTGGAGTGGTTGGAGTGGGTAGAATAGTGGTTGGAGTTGGTGGCATGTTTGTTGGAGTAGGTGACATAGTTGTTGGAGTAGTAGTTGGCTGTTTTGTCCATTTAAGCTTGTCCCCAGTTGTTAGAAATCTTATCACATTTGCTTGGTCTCCATATTCTTGATTGAATCCTGTCCACCATTTAATCTTGAATTCTCTGACTAATGACATTGGAAGTGGTTTTTCTAGATCTTGATGAATTTTGAAACTCCAGCAAAATATCCATGGTACTTTGAACTCCATATGGAATAATATTGGCCTTGTATATTCATATGGAGTTCAAAGTACCATGGATATTTTGCTGGAGTTTCAAAATTCATCAAGATTTAGAAAAACCACTTCCAATGTCATTAGTCAGAGAATTCAAGATTAAATGGTGGACAGGATTCAATCAAGAATATGGAGACCAAGCAAATGTGATAAGATTCCTAACAACTGGGGACAAGCTTAAATGGACAAAACAGCCAACTACTACTCCAACAACTATGTCACCTACTCCAACAAACATGCCACCAACTCCAACCACTATTCTACCCACTCCAACCACTCCAAAAAGAAGAGATAAAGAAAAAGTTACCAGTATAGCATCCGAGACAACTACAAACGACTTTTTGATGAAAAAGATGATGCAAAATCCCGAGATGCTCAGAGAATATTTAGATTATTTACAAAAGCAAGATAAGGATGAAGAAACCGACAAAATTGAAGAGTCAGCAGGATCATCCGAATCCAATTTTGATCCGTTTGGTGGACCATGAGACCCAAATGACTTTTGAAAAAGATATCAACCACTTACTCAAAGATGTCGGCCACATTGCAAAGAAAGCAAATGAAATTCAAATGCAGATGAAATGCACAAATGAGACGAGTCTATAAATAGATTCAATCTCCGATAGCAAAGGCATCAGTGAATTAGCAGAACAAAAAACTTTGCTCTATAGAAAATTCCTTAGCAAAATCCCAAACTTCCCCTACCTACTCTTGTACTCAAGCTTCTTGTAAACTTTTCAAAACTTCAATAAAGAAGTATCAAGGTTTCCATTCTACAAACTTCCGTTGCGAAATATCTCTCTAATTACAAGTAAGTCCAATTTTATATTAAGTTTTTATGAATTACTCAATAAATTCCTCAATATGAAGAAATTCTTCAATATTACAAGGATCGAAATAAACAGTTATCTAATCAATTAAAAGATGTTATTTATTGATTTTGCAGGAATATGGATTCAAAAGCAGGAAATTCCAGACTAAAGACTCCTCAAGATTATGAGATGAGTCTTACACCTGTATCTCCAAATAGATTCCAAATATTACAAGATTTTCCAGCTTTGACTTATAGTCAAGCTACTCGTATTCCAACTTTCCCTCCAATAAGAATTCTTCAACAGACTCAAAAACCTATTGAAAAATCCAATGAAAATACCTATTTTACAAAACCATTTACTCAACATATAACTTTGACCAGATTCCAAGAAACCCCATTATACTCAACACTCAACCAGACTGTTGAAAGAATCTTTCCTCAAAAATGTTATTGGCAACCAGATGATCCCTCAAAAAATTTGGATTACTATGAATTAATTCTTACAGATACCCAATCTGTAGAAATATTTCCTATTCCAGACAAGAAAAATCCAAACATTATCAGCCATTCAAAATGCATTATAAAGAAAGTTTGTTCTCCTAATGAATGGACTTCTCTTTATTCCAAGAAATCTTTCTCAGTAAGATTCATTCCAGATGGATTTACTTATCAAGATTACAAAATGGCATGGTATCGTGCTTTTTTGTATAGACCATTCAATCATTCATGGTTTTTTACATTCAAAGAAAGTTACAGCAAAGAATTTCCAATTTGGTTCAACCACTGGTGGAAATGGTTTGGTCCTCAACCAGAAATCCTACCTCCAAATGTTCTGATGGGATTTCAAACCTATCTAAAAAAAGCAAGGGGGGAGGAATATACAAGGCCAATATTATTTCATATGGAGTTCAAAGTACCATGGATATTTTGCTGGAGTTTCAAAATTCATCAAGACCTAGAAAAACCACTTCCAATGTCATTAGTCAAAGAATTCAAGATTAAATGGTGGACAGGATTCAATCAAGAATATGGAGACCAAGCAAATGTGATAAGATTCCTAACAACTGGGGACAAGCTTAAATGGACAAAACAGCCAACTACTACTCCAACAACTATGTCACCTACTCCAACAAACATGC